AGCCCGGGTGTCCTTCAATGGGTGAATGAATAAACCAAATGTGATATATCCCATACAATGGAATATTATTTATCTTTTAATCGTACATTTTTGTGGGGTACAGTCCGTTGTTTCAATACATGCATATATTGTATAATGATCTCGGTGTTGCTCCCGCCCCTCGCTCAGCCAGTGAGCAGCCGGTCTGTATGTGGGATCCGAACCCTCGGCGGGAGCGCCACCGCGCTTCCCAATCGGCGCACTATAGCAGTGCGCCACTGGGCCGGCCCGTAATTTTAATTTTTTGAGGAAACTCTGTAATATTTTCCATACCAGCTATGCCACTTTGTCTTCCAAAATCTTGTGCAGGGTTTTCTATTTTTCCACATCATTGATAACATTTGCTTTTTTAAATACCCACCTTAACAGGTATGGGGTGATATCTCATTGTGGGTTTAATTTGCATTTCCCTGATGATTAGTGACAGGCAGTATTGTTATCACTACAATTCGAAGTTCTATATTCTACAAAGGTACTTCAAAGAGTTCAAGGAAAAATAGAATTAAAAGATAATACGCATCTTTCCATTAACTTTCTGAAGACCCCTTGTATATTACAAGGCATAGTGTTGCGTATTGTTTAGTATCATGAAGCTGAAATTGATCCATATTAAGATAAAATTAATCTATGCCATGAAAAACAATAGCTTGGAAATCAAAAACAACCCAGAAATCTCACAAAACTGTCATTGGAGCTGGGTGTCAGAGAAGCAGCCTCTGGTGGCTGGCAGACATGAACAGCAGCCTAGTAATGTAGATAGAGACTGCTGAGCCCCTACGCAGCACCAGGCCACCTTGTCCTCTCTCAACTGTGTCACGCTTACTGCAGCCTCAGGGCCTTTGCACATGCTGTGCCCACTGCCAGGAACTCTTTTCCCACTCAGTCTATTCTGTCACTTCAGGTCACTACTCAAATGTCACCCCATCAGATGTGCCTTCCCTTCTTACCCTCATCTCTCATCCCTGCCTTGTTTCATTTCTATTTTTTATCATTCTTCCTAGAACTTAGCACTCCTGACTAACTATGCATTTATTTGGTTGCTTGCCCAGTGCAACGTGAGCTCCACAAGAGTAGGGACCTGATATATTACCAGGACTTAGGACAGTGCCTGGCACACCGTAAGTGCTCAATAGTTAATTGTTGATGGAGTAGGCACATAACCAAATCACAAAGTGTCTGTTCAGACTTAGGAATCTGGACTTCAATCATGAGAAGACAGGGAGTAAGGAGGTGCTTTCTCATTAGTTTGGTTATTGTCTTCACTTTAAAAAATTTATTTACATGTAATAAAATTCACCCTTTTTGGTGTACAGTTATGAGTTTTGTCAAATGAATATAGCCGTGTAACTGTTAAATTAAGTTTGGCCTAAAACTGCCTCCATATGGAGTCCCAGGCAGCAAACTGCACCATAACTTAGTATGTAACAAACTACAACCTAACTTAAGACTATATCCTTATAACAAATAGCTGAGTCTCAGCCAGTCGCAGCAGTTGAGCTTCGGCCAATCACAGGCTGCCACCTGATCAATGTCTATATTAGGCAAATACCCAGCTGTAATCAACCAAGCTATGTCTGCATGTCACTTCTGGTTTCTGTCTATAAGGACTGCCTGCCCACCTTGCTGGGTGGAGCTTTCTGAACCTCTTCTGGTTCTGAGGACTGCATATTCATGAATCGTTTGCTCAAGTGAACTCTGCTAAATTTAATTTCTCTAACAGTTTGATCACCCCCCAAATTCCTTTGTTCCTCCACCCCCAGGAGAACAGAAAGTAGATTCTGGACATTTCATATAAATGGAATCATACAATAGGTGCCCTTTTATGTCTGGCTTCTCTTGCTCGGCATGTTTTTACTTGGGATATTTGTCTTTTTATTGTTGAGTTGTAAGAGATCTTTATATATTCTGGATACTAGTTCCTTATTGGATATATGATTTGTGAATATAGTCAGTCCTTCATATCTGCAGGTTCTGCATCTGTGGATTCAACCAACCGAAGATCTAAAATATTTGGGAAAAAAAACCCCAATAAAAAATAACAATAAAAAATAATGCAAATAAAAAATACAGTATAACAACGATTTACATAGCATTTACATTGTATGAGGTATTACAAGTGATCTAGAGATATATGGGAGGATGTACATAGGTTATATGCAAATACTATGTATGCCATTTTACATAAGGGACTGAGCATCTGAAAATTTTGGTATCCTGGCAGGGCAGGAGGATGTCCTGGGTGTCCTGGAACCAATCCCCTGTGGATACCGAGGAATGATTGTATTTTCTCCCATTGTGTGGACATGTACAGGTTTTTTTGTGAACATAGTTAAAAATTTTTTTAGACTTTTTTATGTTTTATTTTAAATTTATGTTTTATTAGCATGTTCATTGTTACAAATCATACTTATTGTTTATGCCCTTTATCCAAATCTCTTCCCTTGCTCTTCCCCTCCCCTTCTAATAACCATAGATTTGTTCTCCATCTGATAGATTGTTAATTAGACTTTTTTTAAAGAGCAGTTTTAGAGACACAGCAAAATTGAGCAGAAGGTACAGAGATTTCCCGTATACCACCTGCTCCCACACTTGCATAGGCTCCCCGCTTATCAACATCAGTCAGGCACAAGAGTGGTACATTTGTTACCATCGATGAACCTACATTGATACATCATTATCACCCAGAGTCCATAGTTTACATTAGGGTTTCCTCTTGGTTGAACATAGACTTTTATTTCCCTCGGGTAAATACCGAGGAGTGTGATTACTGAGTCGTGCAGTGTCGCCAGAGGGGCCGTACCATTTTTGCATCACTACCAGCAGTGTGCGAGAGTTCCAGTTGCTCCACATCTCACCAACACTTGATATTGTCAGCTTTTTCTTAAGTCATCCTCAGGGATGATTTTAAAGCCTGATGAGAGTCGCATTTTACAAGATGACTCCATGGACTTGGGTGGAGGGTGGCTGGTGAGGCTGAGGCAGGGGACCCTCCTGGGAGGAATGGTAAATGATCAAGACCAGGGAGAGGGGGTATCAATGAGGGGAAGAACCAGGAGGGGTTCGGGGGGCTTGAGGTATGGGGCTGCAAAATGCTGAGCAGGAGAAGAAAGTGGAAAGACAGGTGAGATCCAGAGCAAGAAGGGCATGGAGGGCCAGGCTAGGGCTTTAGACCTGCAGATTCTCTGCCCAGGAGCATTGTGGGTCTTAATAAAGGTAGTAGCTGCTACACTGTACCCACCCCTTGAGGACACATGGTGCACATCAGAATGTGAAAGGCTCCGAGAAGTCCTGCAGCAAAGAACTCTGTTTGGTGTTATTTAACCCACTGTTTCTCAGTCTTAGACCTTGGATCACTTTTCTCAAGGCATAACACTTTAATAATAATAGTATTGATAGGGGGCTGGCTGT